TGGATGAAAAATCGTACAGATATTGATATTAATGATGATGATAGCAGTAATAACAGCAATAAGATATATCAAAGGCTAAGCGTGGGTTCACTACAGGAGGGCTTCATTTGCATTGTGTTTACACGCACCTTAGTTTAGTTTTGTCTTCAACTTAATGTTTCTTTTTGCAATAACTCAATAGAAAACTCAATATATATGTAAATGTATACTTCTTTACCCTGCAAATAGCTAGCTCTTAGTTCTTAGTTATAGAAAACATATTTATTGTGCAGGAATAAGGTCTTAGCTCTGTCACACTGTTGTTGTCAAGATTCACCTTGTGTTTTTTGTACAATGACAATAAAGGAAGTCTAAGTCTATGTCTCTAAGTCTTAAAACCTTGAGATATCTGTATCCCGCTGCTGATAGGAGGGCGGCCGTGACCCCGGTTGCCATGGCTACCCAGGGCTGATCCACCACGGAAACGGCCACGCCGACGGAGACCCCTCCGGCCAGGATGGACGGCTGCATCTGGATCTGTTCAAACCAAAAAAAAACCACTGTGACTCTGTCTAGAGCAGTGTTTTTCAACCACTGTGCCTCGGTACACTAGTGTGTAGTGAGTGATGGCCAGGTGTGCCGTAGAAAATAATCCTATTTCACCTAATTGGTCTAAAAAGATTTTTTGATAAGGAATTAATTATCTGCAAATAATGTGCCATTTTTGAGTGTCTGTGCTGTTCTAGTGACTGGTGGCATAATCATGTAATAATTCCTTATGACTAGATTTTGTATTTAATTTTGTATATTGAAGTGGACATGTTAAGAGCAATTTGAAAGAAGAAATATAAAATATGATAAAAATACATTTTTGTGTTTATTTGATTCCTATTCAAGACACTTAAGATAAGATAAGAATAAAATAAGAATAACTATAGTGTTACTATAGGCGGCTACAGCTTTGTTTAACATTTTTGGTTGGTGGTGTGCCTCGTGATTTTTTCAACGAAAAAATGTACCTTGGCTCAAAAAAGGTTGAAAAACACTGGTCTAGAGGCTAAGCTAACGTTAGCTAACATGAGGAGTTGGTTGGTACCAGGTTCAGCTTCCCTGTGCGGCTGCAGAGGGCAGAGACAGCGGCCGCCGTCACCCCGCTGGCAGCCAGAGCCAGATAGGAACCACAAACGGCCCCCAGCTTCCTGTCAGAGTCCACCAGCACCGCGTTAAAACTGGGCCAGAACATCCAAAGAAACACAGAACCTGGA